GCGGTGCCCCGGGACCCCCTCCCCGCCTGGCCCCTCCATGCCCGGCGAGCCCCCCCCGCGCTCCGCCAGGCCCGCGGCCCGGCCCGGCCCGGCCCCGGAGTGCGGGCCGGAGGCTCCGCGCCCCCGCCGCGGSGTTGGACTCGGCTCTGCGCGGCGATAATGGGTTTTTGGGGTGCGGGTTTTTAGGGTGCGGGGAYTCCCTTTCTAGGGCAGACGAGGGCCGAGGCTTGCGCGGCCTCGGGTCACCCCGGCGCGGGGTGCGGCTGCCGGCAGGAGTTGCTKGGAACAACAAGGACAGTGGAAAGCAGCGGGGTGCGGTGCAGGACCCCGGGTCCCCACGCAGAACACGGACGGCGCTCCCCGGGGGCCGCTGGCGCTCACGGAACTGCAGTATCAGGGCGGGGGGTGGTCGCGTTTTGTAGGCTGTGGAAATTTGGAAATAATTTGGCGTTAAAACCCAAGCCCTGCCTAGACGAATTTTCCCATCCTTGTCATAGAAGTTAATAAGTTTGTTTTTTTTTATTTTTTAGGAGAGAGTTGCAGTTGATCCGTGAAAGATCCATCCTAAAGTTTTCGAGGCATTAGAAATTACATACCGTGGGTAACCTCATGGATATGAGGAGGTACCTTCAAATTGGTTGCATAATTATGGGGCCAGGGCTCGAAGAGGTTTCTTCAAGGGGCGTTTTTAACATTTAAGGAAACTGGAAGGAAATTGGCTGTTGCACTTACCAAATGATGCAAATGTGACTTATCTGGCTGAGAACAGCAAACGTGTCGTGTTTACGTTGCCAATGAGCCTCTGGTTCATCTTTGACTCCGACTTTAATTTTAAGCAGTAGTCTTTTCTATCTTAACACACAGGCATAAAACATAAATTTGGCAATGCTTGGAGTTTATTTCAGTATAGCGTTTGATAAACGTGCACCATGCAAACTTTACCCGTGTGTAGTGGGTTGACCCTGGCTGGATGCCAGGCACCCACCAAAGCTGATCTCTCATTCCCTTTTTCAGCTGGACAGGGAAGAGAAAATACAACAAAGGTGCRTGAATTGAGATAAGGACYAGGRGAGATCACTCACCAAATACCTAAGGGCAAAACAGACTCAAATCGGRGATATTATTMCCAACARAATCAGAGCAGGATAATGAGAAGTAAAATAAATCTTAAAAACACCTTYCCCCCCACCCCTCCCTTCTTYCCAAGCTCTACCTCCTTTYCCCCAGCAGTACAGGGAGATGGGAATGGGGGTTATGGTCAGTTCATTRTTTTTATTGATGCTGCACAGGGAGGGGAGTCCTTCCCACAGGAGACAGTTCTTGAGCTTCTCCRGCATGAATTCATCCCACAGGCAATGGTTCTTCACAAATGACTGCAACATGGGTTACTTTTTCATGGGGCACAATCCYTCAGGCACAGCCTGCYCCAGGGTGGGTACTGCWGAGGGTCACAGGTCCTACAGCAAACCTGYTTGCTCCAGCATGGGYTTGTCTTGCCATGGATCCCTGCCAGGAGCCTGTTCCAGCCTGGGCCTCCCCTGGACTCACAGCCCCCTCGAAGTGTGGGYCTCCTCCATGGCTGCAGGTGGATCTCTGCATCCTTGTGCCCTCRCAGGCTGCAGGGGAACCTCAGCTCTGCTGCCTGGAGCACCTCCTGCCCCTCCCACACTGACCTTGGTGTCAGAATTCCTCTCACATGTTYCCATCCTGCCCTTCTCTGCCCATAATTAGACCTGTGCAATAACCTTTTCCTCTCTCAAATATGTTATCACCATTCCTGATGGGCTCAGATGGCCAGCAGCAGGTCTGTCCTGAAGCTGGCTGACCTTGGCTCTGCTGGACATGGAGGAAGCTTCCAGCAGCTTCTCATAGAAGCCATTCCTGTAGCCCCCTGCTAGCAAGACCTGGCCACATAAACCCAATGCACTGTGATACTGAGAACAGAATGGAACCATAATGCTTCAAAAATTTATATGATCCCATGAAGATTGAAGTAAAACTTAGGTAGTTTCAGCCCAGACCTGGGTTCTAGGAAGGGGTTCTAAAATACTTTCAAAATGTTTTCTGAGCTTGACCATATATATGATATTAATGTAAAATAGTCTTAAGTAAATATTCTTGCCAGGATRGAAGAGGCTGTGGGAAAGAGCACAGAAAGATGATGATTAGTTCATAATCAACAGCAGAGTGGCTCTAGTATTGATAGGTAAAAAACTGGAAATATTTTTATTTTGTCCTCATGTTCAAATTTAATACTCTGAATTTCTTTGAAACAGTGGAACATGTTTGTTCCATAGCAATTGTGAAGCCTCTGTCTTTGAAGATACTCAGAACACAACTGGACACAACCTTGAGCAACCTACTGTAGCTGACCCTGCTCTGAGCAGAAGGGGTGGTTAAGACAATCTGCAGAAGTACGTTCCATCTTGAACGATTCTTATGATTTCTAAGCCAGTTTTTCCAATAAAGATAAAGTGCATAAAAAAATTACAGTGAACAGCACAATATCCTGTGAGGTCTTCGGTTCCAAGCGCATTTTATTCAATTTTTTATTCACATAGGCAATGGAAATCCAGAATATTGGACAGATTGCTCTCAAAGATTGATCATAGCCAATTGTCAAGTCATTGCAGGGGAAGACCTTCAGAAAAGTGTAATGCCATTAAAAGACAAATTACTGGATGTTTTGCAAGACTGAATCTTAACTTGCCTGGCTGGCAATTCATCCGGTTTGCATATATCTGTTTCACCTTTACCCACTTGTTCTTTACCACTCAGGAGCAGGACACCAGCTCATTTTGAGTCATTTGTGTAATTTTTGTCTTGATCAGGCCATTACCTCAACATTGTCCCCAGCCACTCTGGTTTCTAATAGGCCACAAACACCCTGGTGTGATCAGAAACAGGGTAACTCCCATGGGTGCTGCTGCCAGGAAGGAAGCCGTGTTTGCTGCTGATATTCACAGCTCTTTCTGCTGCCACAGTCAACTGAGGTAGGAAACACACTGGGAAACAGCAGGTACCATGGGTGTGCTGGCATCTTTGGAACAAGATAGGTTAACTTACCCACAGAAATGKTTTTGTAACTTGTGCTTTCTGGAATTCAATAGGCAAAGGGTAAAATGCATTGTAAGCAGTCGGATTTCTGGTGTTGATTGGTGGTTAGGTTGTGTCAGATTTGGTGCAACAGAGACAGAATACAGCTTGTATGTAGAAGTTTATAGCTCATTTGTTCTCAGTACAGACCCCTTGCAGTCCAACTCTAATTTTATTTTTGATTCACTGTTCCTTTGTATTWTTCCCTAGAGTTTGTTTTGGTGCCACTTAGGAGTAGGTAACTGTGCTCTATCTTTTTCCTCACAAGAGCAAATGAAGTTGGTGGCTTTTGCTGAGTGTCCTCTTCAAATTTGACTTGAACTTAGCAGTCATTGAGGTCTGGAGACACCTGCTGCTAATTTCATACTCAGACACTTAATTATCACAATGGCTGTTACAATGTTGTGATCAGATTCCATCAGGTAATCTTAAAAGGAGTTTCTATGTCCGTCAGGTCATGAAAAATGGCCACAGCTCCAAGTCAGAATGACTTGATAATGTTTTCATCCATCTCGTTGATAATTTACTCCTCAATAAATTATAAAACTTTGTAAMGAGCCGTTTTCAGTCACAGTTCCTTCCTTTTTGTCTTGCAGCTTAAAAAGAGCCCTTTCCAGGTATTGGCAACATGCATAGCAAGCACCATTGTGCCGAATAACACTCCCAGATTTCTCAAACTGGCCTTTATTGCTAAGCCCCAGCTTATAAGAGAGCAAGCTGAGGTTTGTCAGCTTTATGGTGACTGATCTTTAAGTAGAAATGTGTTTTCTTCTTGATCTGTGATGACCTAGAGTTATTTTACCATCCAGTTACCTGATCATGTTTCAGTAACCATTTTTTGACCCTGACAAACACATCAGCTGGTGATGAGGGTTCAGTGTGAGTTGACTACATCACTGTGCAGTGAATATGAGCCTGCTGAAGTGATCTGTTYGTGTTTTTCCTATGCAGCCACAGTGATGGAGGTTGGGTAGGAAAAAAAGTGAAGGGAGATTGTTCTAATTTCTCCCAGAATAGTCCTCTTATTCTCATGGAAATTCTGGAATAATTTTTCTGTCTTCCAACTTCTATTTGAAACTTGTCTATAAAAAGGGAATACTGCCATCTTRTCCAAGGATCTAATGTTCTGTAATGTTCTCTTTTGGTTGTTAATAATATTGCAAGTGCACCAATATTTACCTGCAGTCATTGGACTAAAAATAAAGGAGTAAAGAGAATTAACAAGATTTCTCCTAGCAGTGGTAAAAAGTTTACTTCATGGCTATAGTAGCTGCTGGCTTTCAAACCAAGTGTATTCAGGACATTTACACTGAAATGGAATCCTTGTAAAAATACGCCCCAAAATGAAGGAAGTGCGAGTGATAAGCAGTCATTCTATTGACAATTTAATCTRCAGGTCCAGATAACCCTGGAGTCTTAAAATTGAGTACAACAAAGGAAAAGCTGTCAGACCAAAAGTCTGTTAGAGCTCATAAAGTGTTTCTGGTCACTAATCAGTAGGAAATGCCTAGAGAGAAGTAAAAGTATAGGGAAATGTAGAGTGTTAACATGCTTTAAAATGCACTCCTGCCTGCCTTCTGTCAGCAGAAGAGGTGGCTGGTTCATTTACAACAATAAATGTAAATATCAAAAGGCTTGAGCCACTTCAGAAAGGGTGATACTGGCCAGTGCCCATTTGCCAGAGCACATAAGCCAAGATGAGTTGGGTAATAAGTTAGCTGTCTTGTTAAAGTCAGTCCTGTCAAAATAAAGGAAAAGAAAACATGGGATTTCTTTAATAAGGAATAAAAGGGTAGAAATATAACTAGTACCAGTAAGTGTGGGTTAGGGAAAAGTGATCTTGACAGACACACCAAACTTCATTACTTGAGTAAGATGAGAAGCTTCAGCTGAACATTAATTGCATAGATGGAGCAGACTTGGSTAAGGAGCTTCAAGTCTCCCTTGTTTTCGATATCAAACGTTAAATGGTTTAAAAGCTGATGGACTGACAGTTCTGAAGAAATACATAACATTGCAGAAATAATTGGATTGTTCACAGAAGTGGAACCTTAGCAATGGCCCAAAACTTTGATCGTGGTTTGGAATTCATCATAGAGTCACCCCTGTTTTAATTAGTGGCTGTGACAAAGTTTCTAGGGTAAGTACATTCAGGTGATGAGGAAAAGACAATAATGAAGAAACTTCACACAAACTTTGTAAATTGAACCACTATCTTAGTCTGTCCAAATGCAAAATCGTGTCTAGGATGAATGAATGCAAATCATGTACTTAGAAAATATTCCTGAATCCTGGAAAGCAGAAACTTCAGAAAAGATTAAAGGAACACAATCACAAGACTCCTCAAAAAGAGTCTTGTATACACATGGGGTAGAAAGGGCTGGTGCTGTTTGGGGATGCTCAGRGTAGAGTAGGTGGTAGAAATAAGGTGAGTGGTATCTGCTGGATCCTGTTTTTTAAATAGACCAAAAACTGGAGACACCACAATTCTAAAAGTATTTTGATGCTTAAAATGTCTTTAGCTTTAATACCAACAAGAACAAAAAAAAATACACATTAATTATATAGTGCTTTTCTGGTAATGGAGAAGTCTTCAGTCTAGAAAGAGAGACATGGATAGCTGGAATTTAAACAAGGTGGATTCAATCAAAAAACATAGACTTCTTAAATGATAAATCGTGACCAACCACAAGCAAAAAATAAGAGATAGGACAGGCCTTCCTCCCCTTGATGCCTTCACCTCCAGATTGGATGTCACTGTCCAGCATTTCTGGCCAAGTCCTTTGGTTCACAAAAAAGTGAAATTTGATGGCTAATGCCATAGAGATGTTGACATTAGGCCATCTTTCACAATCCCTGCCCGGCCTCCTTGAAGTGAAAGGAAGCAGAGCTATCTAGAAAATATAGTTTCTTGAAGTACTATTTTTAGTAGACTGATGTTTTCTATCTAAGAATAGATTCAAATAATTCCTTTTGCTCTGTCAAGACATGCCCTGGCCTAGTTGCTGTTAATAAATAGTAGATTTTCTTGTCCATTTTGTAGTCTTTATAGCGCTATTCAGAATTTCTCAAGAATTCTCCAGACATTAATTGGTGCTTGTAAGTTAAACCACTGTAATTATCCAACACAAATCTGTGGAGACAGTGAATTCTGTAGAATCCTCTAGTGTCCACACTGYGATGCTTGTTCTCAGACAGCAATGCCTGTTTCTCCCCTCTCTTTTCATTCTCAAAATTGGTATTTCCAAAAATTGCCCATCCTTTAATGGCAGACTGACATCCTGTTCCTGTTGGTTGTTGTTGACTGGTTTAGGAAGATGTCTTTCTATGGCCACCACAAGCAAATATTGCCATCACTAGTCCTTCACTATCTCCTGGCAATTACCTGGTCCTTCATGAAAAAYGTTCTGGCTACATGGTCTCCAGGGTTTCCATGCAAGACCAGTGAAGAATGGGCTCTGACCCACAGAAGGAAATATGTCAGGAATAATGGAATCACAGCCTCTGTGCCTAAAATGGCTCTGAAAAGAATGTTCTTGAACTCCTCTCACTTGGGGCAAAAATCATGGTTTTTGAAAAAGAGAGAGAGAAAAGGGTTGTTGGAACCTCCCAAAGTAGCACTGRTTATTGCTGTCTGCTGCGACAGAGGTATATGGCCATGCACAAAATCTCAGTGCATGAAGCAGATCCCCATGAAACTCCCTACAGAAAAGTGAAGACAGCTGAAGTAATCTGGAATTCACAAGATATTTTATCCACAGTATGAAGCATTATATCATGCTATGGGCAAGGAACCAACATTATGGAATKAAGCAAAATCACCACATAGAAGAGGTGCAGTCAGAACAAAAGGACGTAAGATGCTCCAAGTTGTGAAGCGATGTTATGAGGAGTCAGGCCCTGGCATTCATGATGGACAGGGGAATGAGACCTACATGATTAATCCTTCTGGTGGGTAGGAGATCCCAAGACTATAAAACTGCCCAGATCTCAATCAGTGTATGTGACAAGTGCTTTATAACCTTGCATTCCTCTCCAAAGGCACAGTTCATAGAATCATAGAATGGTTTGGGTTGGAAGAGCCCTTAAAGATTATCTAATTAATTGCAACTCCCTACCACAGGCAGGGAATCTTTCACTACACCAGGTTGTCATTATTGGTGGCAGGCTGCTCACAAGTACAAGCTTGCCTGTTCTCCAGCCTTCTCTGTTATCTGCCTCATTGAAGATACAGAACTTCAGGACAGTCACCTGCTGGTCCCCTGGCTTCAGCAACTCCCAGTCCTGGCTTTGCTGCAAAACCTGTTCCCAGCAGGCAGTATCCTCACCATGGAGCTCGAGCACGACACTGCTGGGGCTTGGTGTGCTGCCTGTCACCATCCCCTGGGAACTGTGGAGGGGCTTTGACCCATCCATCTGCACTTTTCCAATTACTGCTGGTGTTCAGGATGCTYCCCGAGAGAGTTGAAGAAAGAACTGTCTTGGTGTTGGCAGGAAGCTTCATATAGTTTCTGGGAAGCAAGGCTTGGAAAGGAGCCCAGGCTGTCACAGTGCCCGTGTTTTGGGTAGCATCTGGCCTGATGTCTGACAGAACAAATGGCTGGCCACCAAAACAGGCACGTTACAGCCAACACTAACACATGCAGACAAAGCCACCGACTCGCTTCAGCCCACGATGCTTGGGGACAAAAATGCCATATGCACTTGTCCCCAATTCTAGGGTGAGTTTAGACAACCAAARTTGGGATGCTCGCTGAACTGCCCGTGCACACAGGCAGCCACAACACTTGGGACCCAAAGACTTATGGGCAAAGAAAGACTAATGCATAAGAAATACTTCATTTTGATGAGAAAACTAGTTGCAATGAATTAAGTAATGAAACAAAGATTGACCTTTACGATCGTGTGTTAGTACACAAAATTATTTTGAAGAAATTACCTTTAAAAATGGTCATTWAAAAAGTAAAAGTATTTCAAAGATTTTCATGACATTAGAAAACACAATTTTACCTAACCTCAACATAGACATTCCTGGGATCTGTGTAGCACTGAAAAATAAGGTGTTGGAGGAATATCTGTGAAACAACTGTGGCAACATTAATTTGGAGAAATTTCTTCATAAGGCTGGGATATTGATTAGCAAAGGAGTGGGAAACAAACAACTGTGAAACATGATCTGAGAATCTTACTTGTTGCTTGGAGTCTGAAAAACATATTTGAATTTAAACCTTCTAATGGTTCCTACTTATAAAAAAAAGTATTTTAAAAATGTGTTCAGATATAGCAGGCTGATGATGGACTGACGTGCTTTTTATTCAAATATTATGTACCCTAGAGAACCGTGTCCAATGTAAAGAATCCTGTGTTTGCTGGGACCCAGAGGAGGAATGGAAGACTCTCATCTTTGGTCTGCCTGCACTTTGCTACACAGGAAAGTTGTAAAGAAAGATCAGAAGAGGGTCCAGACATTCAGTCTTTGTCTTTTCCACTTATACAAAGTCTTTAGTTTGGAACTGACCTCATAGGTTTAAATCAGTGAAAAYGGTGTAATGCCAATATGAAATCTCTAGAGCTGTGTATCTCTCAGATAATCTCTCTACTTAAAAAAATACCAGCAATGTGCAGTGTAGTGTCACTTACTTTGAAACTGTCTGACATTTTGCATTGTACAGGTTTTCAGTTGCTCGTAAAACTTTGCCAGCTTTCACAAGTCTGAAGTTTTCCCTAAGGGGTGTTGGCTTCAAACTGAATTTTTTTTTTGAAGATTCCAGGCACAGTTTTTTCAGCTGCCTAGGATCAAAATGCAGAGTGTTTGCCCTTTTGGAGAGAAGAAAAAATAGAAGAAAAAAAAAAAGGAAAAGAAGAAAAGGAAAGAAAAAGAAGAAAGCAGAAAAAAAAGAAGATGAAAGCAAAGCAAAACAAGATAAAAGAAAAAAGAAGAAAAGGAAAAATGTAAGAGGATTTTTTTTTTAAATTGAAAAGCTAGATAAAAAAACAGATCTTACATTTAAGCAGCAGGGTGGTCCTTGTATTGAGCAGGAGTCCCTTGTATCCTGTGGAGAACTGTCTACATTAAAATCTCTGAAATGTCTTGGTTTACAAATATTCAGTAGACTTCTTAATACTTAGTTTTTAAAGAAAGGCTTTCACAGGCAACTTTATTTCCAATTCTTCCTGATTAAGTGCTGTGCAAGCTTAAAGGAATTTTAAATTAGGTAGGATGGTTAATTATTTATTCTGCAATTTCAAATCACATCTCTTCGTTTCAACTCTCATTGTTTGTGGGGGGGAGGACATTAAAACTTTAATTTACTCTGTAATCCTGTAAGCTCACAATTCATTTGCCTTATTTGCTGATGAATCAGAGATACCACCTAGAGTTGTTGGTAACAAAGGTAAGAGGACCAGTAAATGTTCAACCCGATATGTTGTTGGAAATCAGCACTGATGGATCTTGGAAAAAAGTAGAGAAGATTCAAAGTGGTAAAAATTCCTTTTCTCTTCTTGGCTCATAGAGCTGTAGGTGGCCCTGAGGGTTATCTGTTCCAGTGACTATATAAGCATCGTGTTTTGAAATACGACTGTGCCAGCCCCTCCCTGTTTCTCTAGTAAATTTAGTTGAACAAGAGAGCAGGACATTACAAAACAAACCATTCCACTGAGGGACCAACCTTCTTTTTGGGGAGACTTTAATGGGACAACACTGCTTTTTAGGGTTGTATTTGTCAGTTCAAAGCTGTGTTATTGGTCTCTTTCYAGCAAAACTCTTCTGTATATTTATTACCTGTACTCCCCTTAAATTGCTGGGAGTTGGTGATTGCTTCTATGTGGAGCTGCTTTCACCAGTCCATAAAGCTGCCAGGTTGCTCTGGAACGTACCAAGAGTCCACTTTCCTGTGATGTTATGTGTCAAAACAGACACTTTCCCTTATGGCTCCAAATGCTTTCAAAGGTAAATGTCAGGTTTTAACTGCAAAAATAAATTCCCAGCATGAGCACACAGATTGGTAGAATAGCAACRGCATGAAGTAGCAAGGAATTTACAGGAGGAATTAAGCTTTCAAAAAAAAATGGAAGTAATTTAAGATACCAGTTTCCATAACACTTAAAACACAACCTCACCTTCAAGTACATAATGGTCCCAGCAGTGCTAACAGGACAATTTGTGTGCTTGAAGCACACAAGTACATGGTTTGCAGGCTGTACCAGTGTTTGCTGGCTCATCGTGTTTCATGTGTGCTAACAGACAGAGGCAAAGAGCCAAAACCATATGGAGAATATGTGAACRCTTGTGATTGCTGTGGAAGGGCTAATTACACCCCCATACCTCTTTTTGCTGTGAAGAATGGCTCCACGTTAGATTTTTAAAGGATTAAGTTGTATTACTGCCTATTAATGCCAAAGCAATAAATAGGAGACATTTAAATAAATAAAAATACTTATTGCTAAACTTTGTTATCTATAGCATCTTGGCTGTAGCCAAGAAAAAGCAAAAAAAAAAAAAAAATTCTATTTTTGTATGGCCAGGGCTAGTCACCAAGATAAAAACAAAGCTGTTTTGATGAAAACTTGCAAAAGTTGCAACTTAGTTCTGTTGTGTGGTAGTTAGGATGATGTTSCAAAYGAAATATTTTGAGATACATAATAYATTACATAATCAAATAGATGATTAAGCAAAACCAGGAAGACAAAAGAGTTAAGAGAACCTTAAGGCACATTTGCAGGAGAAAACACCTTTCAGGTCTTCATTGAACACTAAATAAACCAAARTAACTAAACATARAAGGATGTYATGTTTGGCACAGAAAGGGGCTTTCTWAGTAACATCATGAATCCAGTCTCATATGTTGGATTTCTTTACAAATATCCACACCAAGGCAAAAAGGGAGAGCTGATTCAATTGAATTGAATCCTTAGGATTCTGTAACATGAGACTTAATTAAGTGAATCTTGATTTTTTTTTTTCCCAACTGTCCCGAAATATTTAAAAAAGGCTTTAGAAAAAAACTTGGAACGAATAAGTTGATTTATAAATGTATATTCTACAATTTCTTAACRAAGCCTTCCTCAACACAAGTAAATAGCATATATATTAACATTACTTTGACTAAAATATTTCAAGTTTYCATCTGTATTTAATCACAGTGTTCTAGTTCCTTGTTTTATGGAAGTTTTTAAAAGTAATTGAAGAATATGTATTTATTTAAATATTTGAGATAATTCCTTGAACAAGATGTGTGTTCCTTGGCAACGAAATTATCTTGCTTATTCTTTCTCTCTTCATTGCATATATAGTGCCCATGTTTGGAGACTTGTTTGATTGGTTTTTAATCCTTTCAAGGCAAGAAAGGAGAAGAACTTATTTACATACTTGTATTTCTTACATGCAGTTTTTGACTGTCACAGCTGCTATGTTATTCACCATATACCAAAATCTCTGTAAAAATGTTTATTCARCCTGGGTTTAGTCTGGAGAGGTATGAAATATGCACTTTTACTACATCACTGGGACAGACTGGAGAGGTATGGAAGATTCCATGAGCATGTACAGATGTAGCTTTACAGAAACAAAAGCCAGAGCACATCAGTAATTTTAGCACTATGTCAAGAGAACATAATGAATGTCAGCCATCCAGCCAATTGTGCCAAAAGAGTTGTGGCAGTGGAAGAACTGATGAACGAGGAGTGGTGTCCACAGGGTTTGGTGATGTCAAGAAAAGGCAACTACACTTGCTGTGGATTATTTTGTGCTAGTATATACAAAATCCAAAAACATWTTAAAATTATGATTTTATTGCATTYGTTATGTAGCACGTGGCACGGCCAGGAGAGGGGCAGGGGCTGGGAACCAGCAGTGGTTGCTCTGTAGTGGAGTTGTGCTTAAGGGAGGGCAGGAATTTGAAACTATAAATGTTTAGCCCCAGCCTGGCAGCAAGAAGTGACCCAGAACGGCAGGGGTGGCACAGCTGGGACTTTACACTCACAGGAGCACTGGTGGGAAACGGAGCCGGGGCAGAAGTTTAAACCTTTCCTGCAGGCAGTCTGGAGGCTCATCCACATGACTCAGCATGGAAAAACAGTAGAAACATTTCTGCAGCAGTGACCTAGAAGGAAGCACTTTTTAAAGTGCTACATAAAATCATAATTTTAAAATGTTTTTGGATTTTGTATATACTAGCACAAAATAAGCAAAGATGTTAACTGAAAGTTCATTCTTCACCCYTTCAGAACAAAATCAGGTATTTGGCTGGAAATGGCATTTCCCAAATAACACATTGAARTCTCAGGAATAACTACTGACATACYACTTMAACTTTGTACCACWGCACAAGATATCTACATATTTGTGTTAAAGCAGCACAATGTATTCATCATGCTGTCTTAATTATTGAAGTAATGCATGGTAGAGCCAAAGTGGTTGAAGAAGCAGGATCTTTTGGCCTTTATAGTTAAGATTACAAATCAACTTTTCCTAAATCCTGTTCTTTTAAAAGTATACAATGCAACAATTTTTCTCAGTCTAAGYCTACCCATCCTTTTGAATGACTGTATCTTTCTTTATAGCTGTTTCTTCAAAGAATGAACCTCAATAAACATCATACAGAAGTATAAGCTCTTATCTCTTTTTATTATCACAGAATTACTCTATTTAGTTTCTGCACAGCCATTCACTGATAATTTTCTGCTGAGGTAGTGTTATTTATATGCAACGATGTAAGTAATGTATATACTAATGCCTTAGAGAAAACTTCAGTATGAATTAATATGATTAGTCTTCCCACATTTTCATGAA